AAATCATGGAAAAAGTCGAGCGTGATAAGCATGTGAGTACTGTGGAAATTGCCAGAGAACTAGGCATCGACTACAAAACAATTTTAAATCATTTACACAAAGCTGGATACAAAAAGAAGCTCGATGTTTGAATTCCTCATGAGTTAAGAACATGATGGACCGAATTAACATTTGCGATACGCTACTGAAATGGAATGAAATTGAGCCATTTCTGAAGAGAATGATAACTGGTGATGAAAAATGGATCACGACAATCGAACTCGTAAAAGATCGTGGATAAAGGAAGGAGAGAAGGCACAAGCAAAACTTGAACGACGAAGAAGGTGATGTTGTGTGTGTGTGGTGGGATTGGAAGGGAATCGTTCACTATGAGCTGTTATCGTTCGATCAAACAATTAATTCCGAACTCTACTGTGAACAACTGGAGAGATTACAACAAGTAATTGAGAGGAAGCGGCCAGAATTAATCAATAGGAGGGATGTCCATCACGACAATGCTCGACCACACACATCTTTGATAATTCGACAAAAATTGCGAGAGCTTGGCTGGGAAATCTTAATGCATCCACCATATAGTCCTGACATAGCACTCTCAGACTATCTATATCTATTTGTTTAGGTCTCTGCAGAACTCTCTTAATAGTGTAAAGCTGGCTTCAAAAGAGGCCTGTGAAAATCACTTGAAGCAGTTTTTCGACCAGAATCCACAGAAGTTCTATTGCGATGGGATTATGGCTCTGCCCCAAAAATGGCAAAATATTATTTAAAATAATGGAGCATATTTGATTTAAATAAATTGATTTTAATACTCTGAGAAAAACATTTGAATTTTACTGAAAAACCGCCACGAACTTTTTCCCAATATATTTATTCAGTAATAAAAATCAAAACATAATATTATTCATATCCTAGAAAGATGATACTGCGATAAAATACATTGTAATATTTTAATGCTGTTACAGTAACATTGCAATGCGATATAATATTGCAAACTGCAATATAATAATTGAACGATATTGCTATAATATTACAGTGCAGGGTAATTATTTATAATACCTCCTCCTCCCCCATCTCAAATCTTAATAAAAATACACTTATTCACTGTTTTAAATACACAATATAATATGCTTATAATTACACAAATTCACTGTTTTAAAAACACATTTATTACTTTAAAAACACAAATTCATTGCTTTAGAAATACAAATTTATTGTTTTAAAAACACAAATTTATTGCTTCAAAAACACAAATTCACTACTTTAAAAATAAAAATTTACTGCTTTAAGCACATAAATTCTTTGCATTAACAATGAATTTGTGTTTGTGAAGCAGAGAATTTGTGTTTTTAAATCAGTGAATTTGTGTTTTTAAAGCAATAAATTTGTATCTTTAAAGTAGTGAATCTGTGTTTTGAAACAGAGAATTTGTTTTTAAAGCAGTGAATTTGTGTTTTTAAAGCAGTGAATTTGTATAATTAATGCAGAATGTATACATAGCTATATTGATCGGGACAACAAATATTTTAACCTCTAAAGTCTCCAATTTTAACATTTAATAATTCGATTCACGAAGCTGACCGTCGCATTTTTTGCCAGATTCTTTCATTTTGAGTGAAAACACGTCGAATAAGTATATTTTTATTAAGATTTGAGATGGGGGGAAGGTTATTCTAAATAATTAAACCCAGTGCAGTATAACACATTGCAACCAGTATAACACATTGAATGATATTGCGGAAATATTACAATGCGATATAATATATTGCGGTAATACTGCTTTGCGATATATTGCAATATTTAAACGATATTGCGATAATACTTCAGTGGCACGGCGCGCAGGCCGCGAGGAGCGGGAATGGCCTAGCAGGCGTGCCGCGCCTTTTGAACTTAAATGCTCGCGACAGTAAGCCCCGCTCCTCGCGGTCCGCGCGCTCGGTGGGCCTTACTTTCGGTAATAATAGGTCGGGAGGACGTGCGTATTCTGTTATTTTTAAACGTTAATATTTCGTTAATTATTGCGAGCATTACAAAATAGTACAGGACTTTTCTACTCAGTTTAGTCCACTCTACCTGCTCGGAACGAGTGGGGCCGTATATTCATGACACCCTGTATATATGTATGTGTTTGTATATACATATAGAGTACAAAGTCGTCTAAAAGATAACTTAATTAAGACTTCTTTTAGTTTTTATATTTTGGTATATATGTATAATGTTTAATAACGTATATTAGGTTCCTAAATCAGTATAAAAATCTAAACGAAATTGCATGTCATTATATATCTCATTTCTGCAATGTTTGCCGTAATATGCCATGTCCTGTGTGCAAGAGTCATTATCTTCATCATAGTCTCTTTTGAGGACTCGCTTTCAAAAAATATTTTATTAGTGCTTATTAGAACATGTCTAAAATATCTTGCACCTGTATCTTTTATTCTATCTAGTATAATTTTCAAACACGAAAAATTGAATTCTACCGCGTCCGTCTGGTAGCGTATTACTGCTCGTGGGAGTCATGGATCAATGATGAAAGGTATAAATAAAGTAAAAGAAAGGTACATTCTTTATGTTGTCTTTTCGGTAATACGAAAGATATATTTTATAATATCTTTTATAATATCTATCTTAGTCGACTTTTCACTTTTCCAAAACAACAACCATAGAAAGATGTTGACGAAAAAAATGTCTTTTTTAAGTTGTTTTTTCAACAAAATTAAAAGACTTATAAAACGTATAAAGAATTTATAAGCTCCCTAATTAAGATCAAATGTGGGTAGATTTTAAGAATTCCATATAAACAATTAATAAAGAATCTTATATAATTTAATATGGATCTTTATGTGGTCCAAATTAAATCTTTATAAGATTTTAATAAAACCGAATTGTTATTAAGATCTTATTTAGTATTTTATTAAATTTTAATAAAAGTTATATTAAATTATTAGGTGTTGGAATTAATTCGTAGCGTTTTTTTAATGAAAGAATGTTATTTATTTCACATGAGCATTAAAAAATACATTAATGAAAGTACTTCCCATCACTTTCTACTACTTTTGACCATCTTTCGGGCAGTGAATGAATACCGCGTCGGAAGAACTGTTCATCTTTAGATGAAATCCAGGAATCGAACCATTTTGTACAATCTTCGTAAGATGTGAACTTCTGCTCGCACAAGCTATGAGCTAATGATCGAAACAAGTGGTAGTCGCTAGGTGCAATATCAGGAGAATACGGCGGGTGCGGTAGCACTTCCCATTTAAGTGTTTCCAGGTATGTTTTTACCGGTTTTGCAACGTGTGGGCGAGCATTGTCGTGCAGCAAGATGACTTTATCGTGTCTTTCGAAGTATTCCGACCGTTTTTGCTTCAATGCACGGCTCAAGCGCATCAGTTGCCGTCGGTAGAGATCTCCAGTAACGGTTTCATGCGGTTTTAGCAGTTCGTAGTATATGACACCCTTCTGATCCCACCAAATACAGAGCAGGAGCTTTGAGCCATGGATATTGGGCTTTGCCACTGATGTTGATGGTTCGCCGGGCTTAACCCATGACTTTCTGCGCTTTGGATTGTCATAATGGATCCACTTTTCGTCACCGGTAACAATCCGATGCAAAAAACCTTTTCTTTTCTGCCGTTGAAGCAGCAGTTCGCACGTGAGA